TGCACCAATAGACAACATCTTGATAAACAAAATACTGAGATTATAAAAAATTTCATTTTACTTCCACCCACAACCAAGCCTATGTTTGCAGCAAAAGACCACTTTATAATACTAAAAAGTACAGATGTCACTTTGGGACCCAAGCAATGATATTTTCAAAAGCCTCATATGCCTTGAAAGTTGAACAATGAATAAGGAAGAACTAAAAACAACAACAAACAAAAACAAAAACTGCCTTTGTGATACGATGTTGGTGTAGAATTATGTATACATAGGGACTGCTAGATAATAAACAAATTTATCTTTGAAAAAGTACGGTCAGAATGCTCCTTAGAAGTAAAGCTGTCGAGACACTGTAGTCATGTTATCAGAAGGGATCAGTTCCCTGCAGAAGGATATCATGTTTCGATGAAGTATAGAGTCTGTGAAAAGCAGGAACTCTCAACAAGATAGACTGACCCAGCGGTTTCAACTATGGCCTCATATACAGCAAGACTGTGAGGCTAGAGCAGGAGTGAGCAGTGTTTGGCCTAATATACACAGGACTGTTTAGCATTAGAACTAACTCGATGGCATCTAACAATGACAAACACATTTATATAATTTTTTTCAGGCATGTATTTATGAAACTGAGCAACAATCATATCTTTCTTGGCACAGAAAAAGTCTCTAGTAAAAAAGAAAGTTTCTATTATTAAGATGATCTCCCTAAAAAGTAGTATATTACTAGGGAAACATCCACTGCTCACTTGGTACATGTATATTTTACACACAATCATTTCTGAAGTCTGTTTAGATAAATGCAGGCAGGAGTTAAAATAAGGTGGTCTAAGACTCCATTTGTGAAAGAATTCCTCAGTCAAAGTAACAACAGAAAGCAGTAACAAGATTAAAAGGGCAGATGGTATTACCATAGATGGATACTCTAAGGTCACTTTTTTCCTTATTTGGTAGCAGGACACATCATAATTAGAGCATAATGCCTTTAAATAAGATTTCTGAAGCCGGGTATTCATCTTTCTAAAGCCATATGTATCCTGGAAAACACAGGATTTTGAATGACAGGCCTAATTTTTCTTAAAAACCCCTGATGATGTCAAGTTAACCCTCTGTCCGGCTTCTGAGGCTGTCCATTTTTACAGGAGGATATTGATTATCTTTTTCCCACAGAGTGGCAGGTAGATTCAAACCACTGACCTGTTTGGTTGCACCTAATACATTACATGCTATACCACCAGGGTCTGTTTTTCATTCTCAAAAAGCACTATATCAGACATTAAATGGTCTCTAAGGTGTCATTTGGTAATTTAATTTTTTTTCTTTTTCAAATTAAAAAACAAAAACAACAGACCAGAAAACAAAGCCTTAAAGCATAAAAATTTTAAAGCCTGGGAAGAATCCTTTCTTCACCGCTTTTATTGATTTATTTTTTCTGACTTGAAAAATATCACCATTCTCAAAATTTCCCCCTATTATTATTCTCTAAAATGAAAAACAACTTTTTCTCCTAAATTTGGCTTACTTTTGTTGCTAAATTTCATTGATCGTTCTAGAAAATGTTTTCTCAAAAATCGAAAATGTTTTTAACCTTATTTTGTCTGACACATTCTCTAAGAAGGTGATTTTAAGAATGTGCTTTTAAAAAAAAAATAGAAAAAAAAAAAAGAATGTGCTTTATGGACTGTCAGTCAGAGACACTTGAGGGTGGCCTCGTAATACATTATAAAGTCTGGAAGATAACACAGTCTGCAATCAGAGGATGAGAGATATGTGATTTCTAACTACGATCAAACTCACCACTGAAGACGTGTATGTACTAACACTGAACATTCTGCAGTACAGAAATTATCAGTTTAAATTAATTTTGTATTTACAATGGTCAGAAGTACTTTCAACATCATTTGATGATTTACTTTCAATTCAGTTTATCAATTTCTAGATATGAACAAGTTAGTTGTGTTTCTCTTTGCCTGACAATCAACTCTTAAGGCTTCCTACCTCCTCACCATCTTCCCTTCACAATGTTACAGCAAGTAGAGCCACAGGCTCTGTAATGCTTATTTAGTAATAAAATTTACTCCAGTTTCTTTAGAAGAAACTGGGGTTAAGAAAAAAAAGAAACTGGGGTAAATTTTATCTCTCCCTATTGTAGTGATGAGAGTATCCCTTATTATTTCGAACGTTTAAATTTCAATGTCACACTAAAAACTTACAGCAATAGAATGATAAGAGGAAAAATGTTTAAAATGTACGAATATTTTCTAAGGAAAAAGGTGTTTGAGAAAACAAAACTAACATAAGGGAAGACCCCCTTAACTCCTGGGGGACACTATTGCTTTAAACTCGATCTGAATCAGGTGCTCCTTTGATCTATTCTGAAAAGGCACAAATTACACACATCCCCACACTTTTCAAAATATGCCAAAGAATTATTTATTAACACAGGACTTACAGATCACAAAAGAGAGTGTTACAGAAGAAGCTGGAAAGGAAATCATCAGAATAAGCATGCAGATCAGTATTTGCAGAGGATTATACTAAAGCAAGTTTGAAAAGGCACAGTCACACAGAAAATTGTCTAATCTGGGGAGGGGGAGACATCAGAAAGCAGCAAATAAATAAATAAATAGATAAATAAATAAATAAATATGTTGGTTTAAATACAAAGATTTTTCAATGACGAGAAAGAGCTACTTTACAAGTAGGTAGGTTGCTGGCTACAGGAGTCTTGTGAATCCTTTGAGAATGTCACAAATCGGGTAAATTCCTGCTACAAACAAAGCCAGGTAACAAGAGGTGTCAGTGATAGAGAGATTAAATTTAGTGGGGGGAAAGCAGCTGAGCTGAAATTATATGCAGCAAGGACTCAAAGGGTTAAATATAATAATAAGCTGAGAAAATGTAATCATAAGCAGAGAAATTGGGCCAGGTCATTAGTATTTTCTAACTTCCATACAAAGAATCATAGCAAGAGCTAAAAGAGACAGTATCCTCTTCAGAGTTAAGTTAGGGTTTCTAAACAGGATTGCAATCCATAGATAACAATTTATGGGTTTTATTAGTCTCTCTTTATAGCTTACTTATTATTTCTCCAACAAGAAGTACCTTTAAATATCAGTAAGAGAACAAGAGATTCTGTGGTGGACATGAGGATAATGTGAAACCAACTCACACTGACAAAGTCCCTGCCATTTTACCTTTTACAGTGTATTTACATAGCAATTTGGCTCAACAAAAATAAAGCTTATTGGTCAGATATCAGCCCCTTTAACAACCGCTCTAAAGGGATACTGCTCTTTTCCAACATAGAATTTACAGCTTGAGAGGAAACAATTGTCATTGAAGGATATCCTCAAACTGAAAAGCCTTGGCTTGAATATTACAGGTTTAAGCTGAGAATGTTCCAAATATACATTTTAAAAAAATCCTAACAAAAATAACTCATTAGCACAGAGGATTATTTTAACAGGTCAATCAGAACAAGTGTGGTAAGAAAAATCAACCTTCCTGCCCTCCCCCACAAAAATATTAAAAGTAAAATACACTCCAAAGCTAGGTTACATTTATTTCATAAAGACATCTAACTTGGCACTGTGAAAGAATATAGGTGTACTTTCAGAAAAATAAACTCTACTGAGTAACTTGAGTCAGAGTCCAAAAAAGGCTAATATACGTATTATGAAATTTTTAAATAAAATGCAAACACTTGTTAGAAATGGGAGCACAGCAACCAACTGCTGTGGCTCAAGCAACTCGTACCCAAACCAAACTAGACAGAAAGAATAATCACTCTGTCAAAGAAAACAACAAAAATAGAAAAACATCTGAAGAGTACAAAAATGGGAAGTCGACAGCCAAGGGCACGACGGGCTTTCCCCGCAGCCCACTGCACTTGGAACACATTTTAGCAAGTAGCAACATGAAACATGTGTCTGCTAACTTGCTCCTGATTCAGCACCCTGTTTAAGAAGACCTCTAACACTGCCATAGCCAGAGCCACAATTTACTTCCTAATTTATCAATGTGATAGATGCAAATGCTTTGACACTTTACACTTTCTGACTAAGTCAGTAAACTAGCAGATGTCCTCCTCCTCTGCAGTCCCCCCAAAACTTTCATACGCATAATACATTTTCTAGAATAATACAGTAATGCTGAGATAGTTCTCATTATTAAAGGCCACAAAATAGGTTTATCATTCTATGTACGTATCAAAAAGAAAGCTAAACAAAAAACTAGGACACTTGGGAATCTAGTTTTTACGACAGGAAGTAGGTCTAGAGGATAAAACTGCTACACGTAAATCCATACACAATGCAAAGTGCACTCCCTAATAAGATGTTTTCAGTCAGTTTTCAAATATTTTATCCGAAATATTTGATCAGTAGTTACCTATTCTAGCATCTAGAGATTTGTGACAACTTAATACTTCCAGTAACTGTGATTAACACTATAAACAATACTGCAAATCCACTGACAGTAACAACACACAGCCTTCTTCTTGCCAGACCCGGACACCAGGACACTCCTGTACAAACTCTTAACCTCTTCTCTTACAGGGACACTGCAAACTGAAGGATACCTGGTTTGAAAGTTTTACTTTCTTGACATGGCAAGAGCCAGTTTGTAAACCAGACTAGACTGGCGGCTGCCAAATTAAGCCCAAGTGGAAAAAAATAAAAGAGCAAGAAAATTGACCTCAGTCACAGAAATGGAGAAACAATGTCAACACTGCAAAAGTAGTTCTAAAATTTCTGGCAATGTGGGGTTGTTTAGCAGGTGTTTGTTAGATTTCAAAAATAAGACTATTTTAGTTCTCCATTTTAAACTGCCATCGAACCAAATGTAACACTGCTTGGAGGAGACTGGCAATGAAGAGGTTGATTGTTAAAGTCATAAAGGGAAAGCGCCAGAGACTCACTCTTCAGACAACTGGCACCCACAGAACCATCGTAAAAATCTCCATCACCCTCACCAGAGCAATCTCACCAATTCCTCACCTGCAGCAGGAGGATGCTGGCCACTAACTGTTGGCAAATCCAAAGAGCTATCAGACATGACATGCTTAAGATCGCCTCCCACATCAGCCAGTTTCATGTCAAACTGAACAGAGAGTGCGTCTTCAGAGTCCTCCTTGCCAACACTGCTGCCACCAATGGAAGGGAGATCCAAGGACTTCACTGACGCAGAGTCTTCTTTGGTGTGTCTGAAGGCCACTGCTTTGTCCCCAAGGGATTTGTCTGAGTTCATGGAAGAGAATTTGTTGGAATGGAAGTCAGCAAAGTCATCATCACTTTTCCCTGAAGGAGTGCTATCTTTGAGTTCTTCAACACCTAGTCCAGATCCTTCCAGAGAAAGCTGTTTGAAGACATCATACTTGGTAGACGCAGCCGCTGGGTTGTGTCCACTCTTCACCATGCTGCCAGAGTTGCTGGTAAGGGGACCAGAACTGGCTTCCTCTTTCAGGGCATCATACTTGTCATCTGCCTTTTGTTCAGATGAAACTGAGCTATTACTGAAAGCCATAAAATCGGCAAAGTCATCCTGTTCTGCAACAGATGTTGGACTAGAATATCCCCCAAAGAGGTTGAATTCTCCAAAATCATCAGCCAAACTAGACGTTCTCGCTGACGCCAATGATGTCGTTGTTGAAGCAGAGTCTGTCGTCTGGGGTCGTGTGGAAATGGATTTTGATGCACCAAACGCAGATGAAAAAGATGCAGGTTTCTCATTGCTACAATTACTGGAGGAAAACATATCTAGGTCTGCTAAATTCAGAGGATTTTTCACTTGGGTTTGTGGTTTCTGCTGTATAGTTCCTGAGGAGAAGGGTGCTGGAAAAGCTTTGTCTTTTGAGGGTAGTTCTAATGGTGATATGCTCTCAGCTGTTTTAAAATCGGTGAAACCATCGTCTGTTCCTGCACCTCTGAATTCTGCAAAGCTTTCTCCTGGAAGGAAAAACACAAGCAAATAAAAGAAGGGTGAACTGAAAGCCACATAATGCATATCCTATTAAATTACAAGCATAATTTCATAGACTTTTCTCCACTCACTTGCCATTATTTCCCTACAGTTTAAAACCTGTCAAACATCTCTTTGGAAGCCATATATTTCTTTTCACATTTAAGTAGTGATAAAGGGAATAAGTAAAGATCAAGGTAAGAATAGCTAACAGTATTATTTTCACCTGCTCATGTTTTTGGAAGGCCAAAAGCATATGTAAAACCATTTTCTCTCTGAGGCTAGCCAGCCAAGCATGAAGAAAGGAAAAACAGCATCCAACAGAGTAAGAAACAAGTGCTGAAGTGCAACAGTGGCCCTCCAAAGGTGAAGACTGTCACTCAATCATCAATAAGAAAATTTTAAAAATCAGAGGTATTCAGGAAATAATGTGAGAAATCCAGCATCATTACTGTGAATGGATAATACTTTGCTCAACTAGGTACTTTCTGTGAGCATTTGAACTTTTCTTGAAAATAGCCATCTCAATGAGTATTATTTATTCTTATCTTAAAATTCTAAGAGTTGGAAAAAAAATTCTAAGAGTTGAATAAATGCCACCTCTTTGACTTAAAATTTCAAAAGATATGATTAGACATCAGTTTGTATTGTATTATTCTAAGGATGAAGTTACTAGCAGATTTTAAAAATATTTGATTAGAGATAATAGGTACTAATGTACATAAGTAGCCAAATCTACTCAGTTAATAAGATAATAAAAATCCAAGCCCATGATTCTTAGGAGGGATTCTATTCTTTACTAATTTTAAATTTCATAGTAATGTTATCGTAGATTCAGTAACAGGATATAGATGAGCTTGGTTTTCTATTGGTGTTTCAAAGTATCCTATAAAATCCATAATGGATTATGACAAGGACAATATATATATATATATACCAAAGACAGAAACATCCTAATATCACTTATTAAAAATATGAATGCCAGATCTAGAAATTTATAAATTCAAATCCAAGCTTCAATTTCCTCTCTTATTAAAAAAAAAATCAATTTCTTCCCTAGATATGGCATATGGAAATTTATGAACCAGAAACATGATTAAAATAAAAATCTATTTCTTAAAATTGACCTATAAAATAAGGTAGAGTTTGAGCATATTGCACATGTACCGTGATAAAAACTTTGACATATCAAATGACAAAAATGCTGCAAACAATAGGAGATGCGTCTTCATTAAAACAGGATGTACTCAGCCCAGTCAGCAGCATAATTTATCAATAGTAGAGAAACCCATTTAATATCATTAGAGAAATTTTAGACAGAAAGGAATAGGATTCACATTTCCTATAATTTATGTTTTAAGATATAGGACTAATAAAACTAAAGTCAATTTCACATACTGATGGGATAAACAAGTATAAACTTCTAGAAATCACCCCAGAATTGTAGGCACATATCCACCAGCTGCTTTGTGGGAGGATGGGCAATCTCCTCTTGTACAATTAACTGCCTCTGAAAATCCGCCAGTGGGTCAGCTGTCAGCTATGGGTTGGTTCCGACTCAACGGTACCCAACAACAACAATTATTGACCATTTTTGTATTATTTCTGCATAAATAAGAGGGTAATAAGCAGTTCATTTTATCACAGCCTTAACTTTTTTAATATGTTGCTTTGAAGTAGCTGTGAAATTGACGAGTTTTGTTTATTTTTAAAAAGAAAACCACCACAGCAAACTAAACTTACTGATGAATTATAAACGCTTCCATCAGAAATGTAAGCTGGGTGAAAGGGTTAAAAAAAGAAAAAAATAGTGGGTTTATAAGTTCAAACACAAAAGAAATTTTCTTGGGCAAACAGTTGAAGCTAGTAGAAGTCTGCATTATCAATAGGAATATCAAGTACTTCATAGGGAGCTATTCATTTAACTTTGAGGTTCTTTTTCAGACCCTTCCAAGAACACCTCAAAAGAGGTCCTATTTTAATAAAAGGCCAATAAAATGTGTCATTCTGTATAGAAAAGTTTTCATCATAGGTTATGGCTAAACTGGTCAGGGTAGGGAAAAAAATGTATTAACCATAGCCATTTAATAAACTAAGAAACATACAACTCTGTAAGATCTTCCATAAATTCCAAGGAAAGATGAAAACTTTTATAACTTTAGGCCAATATGCCATTCCTTAATTAAAATGTTGAGGGAGCTCCTGTGGTCTAGTGGCTAAGGAACTGTGCTGTCAATCAAAAGACAAGCAGTTTGAACCCACCAGCTGCTCCAGAAAAGAGGGCAATCTGTGATTTACATAGCCCCTGAAAACCTGCTGGGTCAGCTATGTTTTGGTTCCAACTTGACAGCACATAATAACAATAACAGCAATCAACCCAGGCCAGTATGTTTTTTGTTAACAGAATTAAAAAAGAGATAACTCCATGAAGAGTTATAAAATTGAATCTCCTAAGAAGAACAAAGTTAGAACTGCAGCTTAGAAGGTCTTGGAATTAAAGTTAAAAGTGGATAAAAAAAATCATCTGAGAATCTGTCAATAAATAGGTGATTAATGTCACCACTCACTTTTCAGCCTGTGATAGTGAAAAGTATGTCTTGGTATTTCAAATGCCAGCAGGTAACCCATGGTGGGAAGGTTTCAGGAAAGCTTCCAGACTACGACAGGCCTCGCCCGGCCATCCAGGTCTGAAATAGTGGGGTCCTGAGGAACCTGCACTGCAATCCCAAAGGCAGGCAGTTCAAATCCACCAGCTGTTTTACAGGACAGGCAATCTTCTCCTGTCCGATGAACTGCCTCTGAAAACATGCTGGAGGGTCAGCTAAGGACTGGTTCCGACTCCACAGTACACAACAACAGCAAAACATAGTCAGATTGAAGCCCTGAAGATGAGCTCCTCTGACTGGAAGGTATTAGGGAAGAGCAGATTCTTCAAAGTAGAATCTGCCATAATAAACGTGAATAAAGTTTCAGCTTTTGAAGGACCTTCATTTCCTGATACAGAATGACTCAAAATGAGGAGGAAAAGCAGCAAACATCTATTAATGATTAGAAAAGGAATGTACTTAATTTGCATTTAGGAAGACTGAAAGGTGTGAAAAACGAAACCGAATGCATCAGAACCACCATCCTAGCCATTATTGACTTAAAGCAGACTCCTGGCCACTCTGAGTTGGACAATCATGTGGTTTACCACACAAAAAAGTCTGTCTTGGAAGAAGGGCAGCTGAGTGCTCCTTAGAAACAAGATGGGTGGATCTGTATCTCACATACTCAGGGCATGTTATCAGGAAGAGCCAGTCCTGGAGAACACTGTGCTTTGGAAAAGTAGAGGGTCAGCAACAGAGAGGAAGCCCCTCAACAAGATGCACTAACACAGGGAGTATAACAACAGGCTGCCCAGCAACAACTGTGAGAATGGAACAAGATCAGCAGAGTTTCGCTGTACTGTATACAGGCTTGCTGTAACTTGGCATTGACTTGATGGCACATAACAGCATAACACTGCTACCTGTGGTGTCTTGGTTAAATGCACAACTCCACCAGCCACTTTATCAGCTTCCATAAAGCCTTATAGCTTTATGGGCAGTTCTTTGTCCTACAGGGTTTTTAGGAGTTGGAATCTGACTAGATCGCAACAGGTTTAAACTACTGCTAGGAGCCGTGTCAGGTCAGTGATTATGTGTTCCGTTTTTAAGGTAAATGGTGATTTTCTGAAACTACCCTGCAGCTCTACAGGAGAAAAATCTGCTCCTATAAAGATTGTAGTGCAGAAAAAACTCCGAGACAGTTCTATTCTGTCACATGGGGTCCTTAGGAGTAAAAATCAATAGTGCCTAACAACTACAATAACAAAATGGTTAACGTACTTGGTTGGTAACGGAAAGGTTAGACTTTTTTAAAAAAATTTTTTATTTTATACTAGTTTGCTTACAAAGTTTGTACACATTGTGTTTCACATTAACTTTGTCTGGGAGTCTTTCCAGCGAACTACAAAACCAAGGTACACAGAGGAGCAAGAGAATTGAACGAAGGAGAAACTGTTGATATCAGAAATCACAGGGGAGCTCTAGCGGCCTAGTGGTAAAAGGATGCCATGAAACCCCAAAGGTGGTTTGAATGCACCAGCTAGCAACCTCCTCCCATGTAATTTACTGCCTCTGTAAACCCTGCTGGAGGGGTCAGCTTTGGGTCAGTTCTGACTCAAAGGCACACAACAACAACAACAACAACATAGGAAACTCAAAAAAAAGAAGACTTGGGAATCTACTTGCAAAAATCTGTCACTAAAGTTCTGTCACACACGTAAGACTGTCATGAATTGAGGTCATTACGAGTCAGAACTAAATCAATGGCAACTGAAGAAAACACTGCTTACATTTTGGTGGCACCACTGTCTTTCACTGGAAAAAAACACATGTCATGTGATCAGTAACACCATACTCCATAAAGAACCCTGATGTTAAATTATGTGCTTTACGCCAAACCTGTCTGTGACACTGATGTGTCAAATGCGTTAATGGCTGGTTACCCAATGAGGACAGAGAGTGGGGTGGAGCTCCCCGATTAAAACAAGCTTGGAAGCAGGAGTGGTATCCACTTCCATAATAGCTTGCCTCTGGAAACCCTATGAACCTGGAGAGAGGATGAAAGGCACCCAAGTGTTGAGGACTCTCCTTCATAGGATCGCTATGAGTTGCCTGCAACTGGCACTTAACAACAATAACATCAACAGAGAGAGAGATCAGCTGGCCCAGCGGACAGAAAGCAATACTATGAAGCCAAAAATGGTTGACTTTTAATCCACAGCCCTGGGGCCTGTCTTTCATTGTTTTTGTTCAGACATTCCCCTAGGTCATATAGTCCTGGTGTACAAGTTGCCGTACAGCGGTAACTTGCGGTTGCTGTGAGGCTGAACACGGTGACACTGATGTGTCAAATGTGTAAATGGCTGGTTACCCAATGAAGACAGAGAGTGGGGTGGAGCTCCCCGATTAAAACAAGCTTGGAAGCAGGAGTGGTATCTACTTTAGTAATAGCTTGCCTCTGGAAACCCTATGAACCTGGAGAGAGGATGAAAGACACACAAGCATCAAGGACTCTCCTTCACAGGGTCGCTATGAGTTGCCTGCGACTCAATGGCACTTAACAACAACTCCAAACCTGTCTCGATCAAAGAACTGATGAAAGAATTGCTAGGAGGTAAATGAAAACTTTACAATCCAAAAGTTTCTCTAGGGCTTATCCTAGTAATCCTAGAACCTGATACCAGGGCCTGGATGAAACACAAGAAAATATTTCCCAAACCTATCAGCTATAAAGGGACTAAACAGCCTTAGAAGAGGTAGGCATCCCTTTTTAGAGACGTTTAAGTAGTACAGTTTCCAATACACCTAGTTTACTTTCATACAAAGGCCCCTGCCCCCAACCCAGGTAGAAGAGTGGAAATAAATGCTATTTGGAGAATGTTCCGAGCTTGAGGATTCAGTACATAAAGATGAAATGTGGTACCTGTTCACCGAAGGAAATCATTGCTAAAGTACACACACTTTATAGCATGCACAGTTGAGATCAGAGGACATAATTTCACATATGAACTATCTAAAACTTCAAATACCATATTCATTGTGGGATTTGACTACAAACATAATTTTGTCTTTATATACATGGCTCTCAAACAATCATTTGCTATTCCATTTTAATCTGTTTAAGCCCTTTCATCAGAGCTGGAAACCACATATACACACAAAGTGTTCTCATTTCATCATTCTCATTAAAGTATAGCCAATCTTAAAAAAATCTTAAACGTAAAGGACTGATTGCTGCTTATGCATTGACCATACATTGGTGCACTCTTCACAACTCAACTAGTTGAGTAACTCTAAATTCACCCACAAGAACCAAAAGTGGTCATAGCCTTCCATTTGACATTGGAAAGGAATTTAGCTTAAGGGCTTCCAGTGGAGAAGTCTATTTTTTTCCCCCAGAGAAATTGCATCCATTTGCAGATTGCCCTGAATCTTAGAAAATAATGCCCATATTTTATCTCCTGGTAATGTTTAGAGTCACAGATAAAGAAATAAAATTCCTCATCAACAAGATAATCCCCAACTCAGAACCAATCACAATATTCAGTAAACACAGATGTCCATTAAGGTTACAAAATTGAAATATTTTCCCTTTGAACATCAACTATGATAATCACTGCTATGTTGTATGTTGTTTTAGATATAAGCTATAAATATATGATAAAATAGAGGAGTGCCAGAGAATCATAAACTATTTCTTTTTCTTAAAAAAGGAAAATAATGTATCCACTGAAAGAATCGAGTAAACACTTACCTAAAGATTTATTCTCTGTTGTCTGTTCAAGTTCTCTGAAAGCACTATATTTATCTCCTGGTTCTATGATGTAAAAAGAGAAGGTCAGTTAAGTTTAGGAACATGAGATTACAACTCCAGGCAGTAAGGCAGATTAGGTAGGTCAATCTAGCATATTTGACATCAGGAGCTCTGGTGGCTTAGTGGTAAGGAGCTGCACTGCCAACCCAACAGCATGCTGTTCAAAGTCAGCAAATGTTCGACGGGAGAAATTTGGGCAATTTCCTCCCATGCAATTATACTGCCTCTGAAAACTCACTAAAGGTACAGCTCTGAGTCAGTTCTGATTCTATAGTAAGCAACATACTTGACATTAGTGTAAGCACTTACATATTTAACGTAAAAGGACATCACTGAAAAAGAGTCTATAATCAAATGCTACATTTACAGGTTTATGATCTTGCAAATTTTTACCTCCAAAGGGTACAGTACTTTCAGAGGTCTTTTCAGTTGCAATTCCTTTAAACACAGCGTATTTATCCGTTGAAGCTGAGGGTTTAGTTCCAGGAAGTGGTATTAACAAAGAAGGGACACTAAAAGGGAGAAAAGAAACATTTCTTAATATCAAGAACATGGAATTTTTTCCCTTATTGGACAGATTTAATTGCAAATACATATAGAACTAGATATAATACATGATATTTCTGCTTTAAAACTTAGGAAATACATATACAACATCACAAATAATGAAAAGAAAGTCCTTTCTCTTGGGGGAGGGAAATCTATAAGCATCTATATGTATTTGATGGCCCATAACAGTATGTATAAATAAGTAAGTACACATACATCCCCCTCCATGTAATTTCTGCAATTTTAACTTAAGATATATAAACCTTGCCCAAGTAGACTGTGCCAAATATGTATATCCAATCTGAGAAAGAAACTATATTTTAATGTAAATTATGTTCATTTTAATATAAATTAATAGACATCATATTCTAAAATAGATTTAGAGCGCAGAGGTGGTATTGTTAAGATAAAAATCTATTTATGAAATGTTGCTCAAGCCAAGATGTAAATTGTTCTTTTGATCATACTGCATTGCTTACTAGCAGAAGTTCACCCATCTGATAAGCAGTAGTAGAGTTAATACAATTTGCATTTTTACAAGGATCAGACCAGGATTCCTGAAGCTATCTTTGTAGCAAAACAACAATCACTTCAACATTAGATAAAGATACTTTTGCCTGTGAACATATTTCTCACTGGATGGAAAAATAGTGTAATGAGTAGCCACTGTGTGGGTAATTCTTGGAAGGCTTAAACTCGTATTATAAAAGCTAGGCTTCTCCCCCCCCCTCCACCACCCCACCTTATCAGACCCTGGCAGCTCCCTGGGAAAAGAACTTTTACATATGAATGACTACATTCCATCACTAGTTTTTGTCATTCAATACCACACACACAACTTATATAAATGGGTTTCTATTGAGTTCTTTGCCTTGGAGCAAAAATCTTTCCATAGTCATTTAAATCTTCTTATCAGGGGCCTCCAAGCAAGGTAAAAATCTGGCTCTTGCACATGCATACTAATAACATCCACGGCGCTTTAGGACTTAGTGCCATCAAACAGTATAGTGGAGGTATAATTTAATTTCACATCACTACCAAAAAGCTCTGACATATTTGATCTTGACAAATGACAAATATGACAGGTAATCATCTATACAGTATAGGTGGAGCTTTAAAAGTTTCATAAGTAATTAAACCATAGCTCACTGTACAGATGTTAAATATAGGAATAAGGGTAATTGATATCGTAGGGGAAAACTGCAAGATTGAATGATCTATTTGTTTTTCATGACTTTCCAACTTCAGCTATAGTCACATAAAATTGTTCTAAATCTGCCTTTTAAATAGAATATTATTAATTTTAATATTAAACCCTCATGTTCAAGGTAATGAAGTACTGTTGGTTGAATAAAATAAAATTTCATTCAAAAAAAGCTATGACTTGGACGCTAACTTTTTACATATTGCCAATGAATAATTCATTCCAATTCTTTCTCTAAAGTTACTATTAAAGCACCACTGTAATCATCACAAAAGACTGTTTGCCGTTGTATCAGTCATTATCTGTCCCAAACACAAAACAGTTCTTTCTATCCTTTAATAACAAAGTATTCAAGTGAGTTATTGTTTTTAAAATTTACTATTGAGAATAAGACTACAGCCACTAAAATAGGTATTTTGTCTTTCTCTCTAGTGACCCATTTATGCTTTGCAATCACTCCATCTGGCTGTGGCAGATTATTTCATTTAAGTTCTCATCCTACTAAACATACAAATATAAAAAGACTAATTAAGAGTTTCAGGAGCTTTGTCGGCTTATTCTGTAGCTCACTGCACGGCTAACTTTTTTTTTTTTTTTAAATAATTTTAATGAACATTTACAGAGAATTTGGATTTCCATTCATTCATTGCTGCACTTCTCTACCCACCCAGCCCTCTCCCCCCAGCCCCCAGTTCACTCCTCTCTTTCAAAAGTAAAAGAAAGACTCCCTCCCTGGTACACAATCCCCCCGCACCCCTCCCACCACCCCAAGTACATTCCACTATGCAACCTTAATTGTAGACTCTTGTGATAACCATAATACCCTATCACACATCGCTTTTAAGTTATTCAGTCCCTCATCTGTTTCAGTGCAGTATACACAATTTATCCAGTTTTTCTCAGTCTTACCCCCACCCTGATATAAGTCCCATTTTACAGCAGTGGCACCATGCAATATTTGTCCTTTTGTGACTGAGATATTTCACTCAGCATAATGTCCTCCAGGGTCACCCATTTTGAATAATATTGCATGAGTTCCTTGTTTTTCAATGCAGCATAGTATTCCATTGTGTGAATATACCACAGCTTCTCTATCCATTCGTTTGTTGATGGACACCTGGGTTGTTTCCAACTCCTTGCTATTGTGAACAGAGCTGTGATAAACATGGGTGTACGGCTAACTTTTTTTTTAAAGGCCTCAATTCTCCAAATGGCTCAAATTCATGGTTCCTCTGGATGAGAAAGATGGGCAGTCTCCTCTCTTAAATATTTACAGCCTCAGAAGCTCTATGGAGGGCTACTAAGAGTTGGAATCTTGAAATTTTAGCCTACTTCTTATGTCTTCTATGTCTTTTCAGTGTCTGACAAGAAATGCCTTGGGTCATTCAGACAGAGAGGCCAAGTCAGCAGGTGTTGTTATGTGCCATGCAATCGGAAGCAAGTCCTTGCTGACCATCCAGTCAGTCTCCTGAGGCTGTACATCACACGGGAGGAGACTGACCACCTCTTTTTCACAGAGTAGCTAGTGGATTTGAATCTTCTGCCTTTGGGCAATTCCTTACCATTATGCCACCAGATTAGCAGAATGTAAAAATTTTGTTTAAAGAAAGAGACCTGGAGTAGGAATATTTTGTTTTTATAAGGCTAGCTGTTGCAGAGATCTTGGAAATCTCACTTTTACATAGTTACATTTATCATTCATTTCTTATATCTCATTGCTGTTGAGTCAATTTTAACTTCTAACAACCCTGTGGGACAGAGTACAAGTGTACTACAGAGTTCTCAAGACTGTAAATCTTTACGGAAGCAAACAGCAACAAATTTCACCTTCAGAGCAACTAGTGAGTTCAAACCACCAACCTTCTGGTAAGCAAGTAAGTGTTTTGCCACTGTGCCACCAGACTGCTTGATTCTTCTATGTGTCCCTTACACATGTTTTTAATGTATTCTTAAAATTAGTAGGAGAATGTTCTTTCCTAATGTGTAATTCTCTATTCTACCTCTGAGTTCTTCTTACATTGTTAAGTATGAAGTGTTAATTAAAAGATGATAAACTGGTTAAAGTCCAAGAGATGAATGAACTTGTACAAATAATAAGAAAAATGGAGCATGCATAGTGCCAGAGAAACAAGTTCTAAACACAAGACGAAAGAAACTGATACTGCTTTCTCAAAGTCCCATGTGTTACGAATCTGTGGAAAAAACCCTTTTTTTAAAAAAACAAAATGGAGAGGTGTGTTGATAACATACTGAATCAGTTATGTAAAGTTAAGTTAGTACATAAATCATTAGATATATGTCTTTGCAACCAACTATTCGAACAAACAGAAATCTGAAGGTCTTAAAATCATTGCTCTCAACTTAAATACAAAAGACATGAATAATCTATTACTTATATTGAGTAATACATTGAATATATTTACTATATACTGAATTATGACATCTGTGAAAACTCAACACTGTAATATGCTACAAAAATATAAAATCATATGGCCTTGGCAAAAAAGATTAAGGATTTAAGATCTACAGTAAATACCTCATGCTTAGTGAAAACAAAAAAAAACCCCAAAACCACCAACCAACAAAACTGGCAAAGCAGGCATGTACAGGGATGAAACAGCAGGAGCTGAAGATGACAAAGGAGGAAGTTAGAAGAGTGAATATAAGAGTAAAGACATGATAGTAAAAGACAATATGAGGAAATTAAGAGTAAAGAGCTTAATCTTCTTACTTATACTTAAGTCTTCTCATTGTGAATATCTGTTTTCATTATTAAATATATTGTTAAATATAAGGGAGCTCTTGTGACCTAGTGGGTCCCTACCTATGGTCAACCCAAAGGCAAGAGGTTTGAATCCATCATTTGCTCCAAGGGAGAAAGATGGACAAGCTCCTCCCATGAGAGTTACAGTTTCTGAAAACTTGCTGGAATTGTTAGTTCTGACTTGACAGAAATGAGGAAAGAAAAGTTAAATGGATTCAACTCTTTACTACCTGGTTCCATGCTGGGAATGATTTGCCTTTGAAGCAGCAGGTAACTCTTGGAAATCACTAAATGAGTCATCAAGGGATCCTGATTTAGAAGCGTCTTGAAAATCCTGGAAGTCATCTTCTTCTGGTTTTACCACCTAAGTTTACAGACAAAACATTTAAGCAGAAAAGTATCAAACGATAGAATAGTTAGCAACTCTCCAACTGCCAACCCAAAAGACTGTATTTTTTAAGTTCCTCTGTAACAACAACAATTTAAGTACAGCTATTAATTTCAGAACACTCTTCAGATTCACTATCAGCTTAAGTGCTTAAGGAAATAACTTTGTATTTTTTTTTATAACTTTGTATTTTGAGACATCTTCTGCCAAAATGGTAAAAGACTGAAGCTGAATTGCATTTAATGGATATTAGCCTGCCCATACATTAAAAAGAATCAATTAAAAAAAAAATCAAAAGCCACTGGAATCTAGTCAATTCCTACTCAGCAACACTAATAACAATTGATAATTCATCAGTTTTATTAAACAGATGAACTTATAACACGAAATACCGAAAAAAATTAAGGTGCATCATTCTGTACTTTAAAGCAATTAATCATATAACATCTTTCCACATAGTACATGTAGATCTATCTTATTTATTTTAATTATGATTAATTATGAAATAATTTATAATTGATGGATGAACCAAAATGTATCTAAACTTTCTCCCAATGGATATTAGCTTTTTTGAAAGTTTTACTCTCACAATGTTACAACAAAATCCCTATCTCCTTGTTAATTTAAGTTACAATTAGATTTCTAATTGTGTGACAACAGGCAAAAGGACATTTAGTTTTGATAGCTAATGTCAAACCAGCCTTCCAAAAAGGCTGCATAAATAAATTTACAGTATTAGTCACTTTCCCCCTATTTGTTCATTGACAGTAATAAAAAATTTTAAAATTTTTACTAATCTAATGCATGAAAATAAACTAAGGTACTTTAAACTTTAGGTTTAGCAATTTCCTCAAAATGCCCAATCAAAATATTTATATTTTAGGTTAAAATGTGTAGAGAATTAGAAATCTTCAGCTAAAATTCAAATGGTTTAAGAAATAATTTTGGGCTTTTTTTTACATAATAAACTAAACTTTGTATTTGAGTACTGTTTAGTTTTCATCCCAAGTGTCCATTATAATTCAGCAATATTCTGTGTGCATCTGAAGTTTCCTCGATTCACTCTTCAGGATATCTGAAATAGACACAGCTTCTCCATTTACCTGATTTGCTGAGTACGTTGGCAAGAAGCCACTGGAAGCCTGGGCTGCAGCTCCCCCAACTGGTCCAACAAGGTTAATGCCCATGACTGGCTGTCCCAGGCTGAGAGGCAGGGAGCCTGCAGGGACTGAAGGCATCACTGTCGGCTGACTCACAGGGGTAGGAAGAGCCATAGGAAAACCACTTAAAGTTGGAATAGGAGCCGCTGGGAACTGGCTTAAAGCATCTGGACTAATAGCAGGAACACCCCTCTATAATAAAACAGGAAGAAAATGGAAATATTTTGAGGGACAGTAATACATAGATGATCTGAATTTTGCAAATGGAGACTTAAATACAAAACCTGTTCTTAGTATATTTCTACTCTGTCTCTAAATGGCAAATTTGACAGTCACCTTCATCCAAAATGTAATAAATATAAAAACATAATAGCAAAGAAATTACCAACACATATCAGTTCTGTTGCTTTCCTCTTTGAAAATTTTGGCTAATTCACTATATAAGAAATCATTCAAAGTATTTCTTATAATATAAGAACTATTATTTGGCTGAGGATACTTTATCTAAGGAATTTTAAGCTAGCACTTCAGAGGACAGAAAAAGTACTTTTACTTATTACTGCCTAGTTCTCATCTGGAGAATATTAATAAACTAAATATTCTTTGAACAAAAGAATATTTTTGCCTAGTGCATATAAAATATGAACTTTAAATACCATATAACTATATTCTGACTATGACCTAAATTTCAATGTACAGATTTTGACAGTGTTAAAGTCACAAAAGGATTCATATTCCTTAGGTTTACAATAAAAAGTTATTTGGTTTAACCGAAGAAACAATGTGTACCTGTGTCACTGCTATCATGGCCAGAACAGTATAGAGTTCTTCTTTAGTCAGTTTGCCAGGTGTGGTTCGATTAGCTAAGGCCCATATCTGTCCAAGAGTTTCCCTGGGAAGCCCAGATGACATGAGAATGGGATAAAGCTTGGCAGTATCTATTCCCGTTGGAGTCATTGTGGTTTCTAAAATTTTCTTATAAGCATCTATTAAAAGAAAGAACAATGTACATGGAAAAGAACAAATGTAAATGGATTATAAATGATTGGTCTCTTGTTGCTGCTGGTATACAAAAATAACCCTCAATTAAGTTGCTTTAATACAACAAGTTGTAGTTCAAAGTCACCACAAGGTTCACACTGCTATAAAGAAGTCATTATTGTTATTGTTATATGCCCTTGAATTGGGACCAATTCACAGCAATTTTCCAGTGGGTTATCAGAGCTGTAAATCAGACAGGAGGAGACTTCCCATCTTTCTCCTGTGGAGTCACTGGAGGACTCAACTGCCTTTTGGGTTGGCAGCGCAGCTCCTTACCACTAGGTCAACCAGAGCTCCCCTGTTATAAAGAAAGCCAGGTGGAAATATCAAGCAGACAATTAGGATTTGAAGCTCAGAAGAAAGAGTAGAACTTGGTCCTAAAGATGAAGATTTAGGGCTGACACTAAGAAGCCACTTTTTAATTTAGTACAATATTGCATTACAATAAGATAGAAGTGGTATAAGCAGAGGCTACATCCTTTAACAGATAGGGCATGAAAGTAAGGATAATTGAAATGGTAAAAAGTAAGAATTCTACAAACATCATCATTTTCCTTGCCCAATGAATCAGATGCTGTAAGAGAATACATAATTGGGGAAAGTGCTATGGAAATAGAACCTGCAGGAAAAGATTAGGGTTTAGTTAAGATGAGGAAGTAGAAAAGGTCTGGGGTTTAAAAAAAAAAAGTTTTGTTGTTGTTGTTATGTGCTGTCGAGTTGCTTGCAACCCACAGCGACCCCATGTACACAGCCCTATACCCTGCTCTATCCTGTGCCAATTTTATTGTCACTGACACACCTACCCCCATTACTCCAGTCACTGAATCAATCCATCTAATCAAGGGTCTTCAATTGAGTAGGCTTTATTATAAACTGAGGATTCCAAAGAACAAAGTGTGATAGGTTGTCAGAGGTAATGCCATATGAAGCATAGGAAACCCATACTGCATGCGATATTAAACAATGAGTTACTATATAGCTTAAATTAAAATTTAACTGGGCATCCAGTTTACTCTTTTGTTAAATCTTTGAGCGGCTTCTAGGGAGGAAAGCTGATTAGGTTTCATTCAGCCTGAGAGAGAAAAATGTTTTAAATAAAAAAAATTTATTTATATGATTATAAATGTAGATTACAAATTACAAGGCTTCTCATTAAAACAAATACTTTCTCTTTCGAGCCCTTGCTTTCAAAATGACAAAGAAAAGGAGAAACAACGGTCATACCAAAAAAGGGCCATGGTCGTGTGCAGCCCATTTGCTGCACCAACTGCACCTGCTGTGTGCCCAAAGACAAGGCAATTAAGAAGTTCATAATTTGAAATATAACAGATGTAGCTGTTGTTAGGGACATTTCTGAAACAAGGGTCTTCAATGCATTTTTCTTTCCAAAGCTCCATGTGAAACTGCACTACTGTGAGTTTTGCCTTTTCCAGCAAGGTGGTGAGGAATCATTCTCGTGAAGCCCAGAAGGACAGAACACCTTCATCCAGATTTAGATCTGCAGGTGCTCCTCCACCACCAGCCACGCCCATGTAAGGATTTGGTTCCTTGAGAGGCTGAAGAAAAACTCGTTTCAAAATAAAATGGAAATTATACTTTTTAAAAACCAAAACCAAATACTTTGGCTATGAAGCTATGTATGAATAGAACTCCAAAGTATACCAAGATCTAGATTTTTGTTGTTGTTTATCTGATTTAAAGACAGAGAAGAAAAGGAAAAGATAAAAACAGTACAATAAGCAACTGGAAGAAAAACCATGATATTTATGTATATGTAAAGTTAACATTTCATATGTGATTTTGACATTGATGGTTTCTTCCACAGAAATTCAGGTATGGGTACCTTGCAATCATGGAAAAAAAAGAACTGTGGTCCATGAAAACTGAAGATCTAATAACAGATAACTCTAGCTTTTAAGATGATGACATAAAATTAAACAAGCTACCACATGTATATGCTTTTGTAATAGTCTGTGTACATCAATCTTAGTTTAAGTAGACTATTTCCTTATATTCATTTAAGTAATATCGTAAAATGATATTACAAATTATTTTTTTTTTACTTTGTAGTAATAATATAGGAAGCTCTGGTGGCCTAGTGGCAAGAAGCTGTGCTGCAATCCTGAAGGCACAAGGTTCGATGACATCAGCTGCTCTGCAGGAGAAGGATGGCTGATCTCCTCCCGGTGATTGACTGCCTCTAAAAACCTGCCAGAGGGTCATCCATGGGTTGGTTCTACCTCTACAGCACACAACAACAGTAATATTATATGTTTGTTGTTGTTGTTATGTGCCGTCGAGTCGCCTGCGACTCATAGTGACCCTATGTACAACAGCCCTAAACTCTGCTCTGTCCTGTGCCAATCGCACTGTCTCCAACACTCCCATCCCAATT